AAAAGTATCTGAACTTAGATTCTGAACTTCTCTAGTGTTCAGGAAACTCTCCATAGAAAGCTGTGCCACAGACGGGTGTTCTCGAAATGTGGTTTTGAAATCACTGGTTTGTCTGCTGTAGCCCTAGGTTGAGACTCCAGAGGTTTGGGGAAGACCTTGCCATGGGCTTCCCTCAAAAGGAACAGACAACATGGCCTAGTGGCCTAGTGCTGTGGGCTCGGATCATGAGACCCTGAGCAATGGATGCTTCCAGAACCATCTTGGTACTGCCCTTGGTGCTGAAGGCCCAGTACCCTGGGCAGAGGGGCAAACTTCTAGGGTTTGACCAGAGCAGAATAGGGACAGGTCTGCCTGCATATGGGACAGTCAGCCCTCTGCTCTCAACCTCCCCCTCCTTTCTGGGACTTCTCGAACCCTTGGATGTATTTTCTTTTGCTTCCCTGCCTCCCTCTTTGGCCTTGCTCTTGTTCCTTTCTGTTCCAGTAAAGCCCTCATAGAAAAGATCTAAAAGACTGATGGTGCCTCGTGTTGGTAGGTAGAAGGGAAGTCTCATTTACCATGGGTGGGAATTTAAAGTGGTGTGCCCCATTTGGAGGGCAATTGACAATATCTGTGAAAGACTCTAATAGGCAAATTCACAGTCTCAGCAGTTTCAGTTCATGAAATGACTAGTATAGAAATAACTGCACAATTGTGCAAAAACATACGTGCAAAGTTGTTTGTTAGAGTTTTGTTTATAGTTGTGACTATTTAGAAATAACCCAAACATGCATCAATAGGGGACTGGTTACATAAACTGGCATAGTCGTATCAAAATAGTATGTAGCCATGAAAAAGGTAGTGCTCTCTGTATTTTCATGGAGATGAGCAAGCTGATTTATATGTAAGTGGTTGAGAGCAATATGCATATTATAATGGTTAACATTTATTAGCGACTTACTATATGTCGGACATCTGTGCTTTCATTTGTTGTCTTACTTCTCAACACGACCCTATGAATAATATTGTCGTTCCTATTTTCAGAAAAGGATTACCAAAAATTTTTTAAAATCTTGCCCCAATGTCATACAGCTAATAAGTCATCAACCCAAGATGGAAACCCGGATCTCTCTCTCTCCTGAGCTTCCCAGTACAATCACATTTTTGTAGAAAATATGAGGAAACTCTACACACCCATTAATGTTAGCCTGAATGTTGAATACAGAAAAGTTTGCTTGGTGGACTTATATTCCCCTCGTGTTCTCTCCTTCCATCCCAGGCATAGTTAAATCACCCCTTCTGGGGGTTTCCAGAGCTGCTATTCATACCTTGAATCCCCTCCACCAACCTCCACCTTAAACATTGGTTTCTATATTTGTCACCGCTATTATTATGCTCTGTCCTTGGGGGCTGAGTCTGACTTATTCGGTTTTATAACCCTAATTCCTGGCACAGAGTAGATAGATGGCCTCAGAACATCTGTTAAAACTGTACAAGGGTGTCATGCACACTGAGCCAAAGTCAGGGGATCAGGTTCAGGGTCAAGGTGTCAAGATAGACGGTCACTGCTGCTATTCTGGGAAAAGGGCCTGCCGAGCAGACCAGGAGCTACATCTCCATTGTGCTAGGGTTACCTGAGCAGAATACTGAGCCCCACAAGGAAGTCTTCCACAGGCCAGAGCAGATTTGCTGGGAAGCTAGTGAACCCTAAAGCTGCAGGACCTCTCAAGGTCTGATACCTAATTTTGCAATCTTTACCTTAGAAAGGTATCCACCCCTTCCACAATGTCTCCTTCCTTCTCTCTCTCAGGTGTACACTTCCCTCCCCTTTTCCTGAGCTGATCCATTCTTTCCTAAGTGCACCTTTAAAGGCCAGATTTCTCCGTTGAGTGTCCCCCTCATCAGTCACCTTAACTGTCATCTTCTGTACCTCAAAGCAATGTGCCCCAGGAAGGCAGATTTCATGTCTTGGATCTCCAATGGTGTTCAAACATTTTGGGAAGCCCAGGGGAAGAAGCACATTTATCTGCCACCAAACCTCAAAGGTCAACTGAAATGTCAACTGGCCTCTTGCACCGAGCTGCAATGGTGCCTCCTCAAGTGGGGACGCCGAGTGCTCGCGCTCACTGGAAGCCTGGCTGGCAAACACATTCATCTATGATTCCTTAGAACATGGAGAAACAAAGTCCTCTTAATGGGTCATTAAAAAAAAAAAGTCATTTAAGTGGTTGGAGACCAAATCTTTCAAAAGCAAATGTTTAGGGAGAGGCACTTGGAAGCAAAAATACGGGGATTCACTCTTGGACACCTTCAGTCTCCAGAATGATTAGACGTCTCCAAAGCAGAGCAGATCCTGGAGCTGGGAGCGAGCAGTTCTGAGCACATCAGGTGAGAATAAGCAGAAAGCCCATGCACGTCCTCACCACCGCAGGCCCGCCACTCCCAGTGTGGGGCTCCCAGAAGGCTCCCTGCAAGCGAGACTTTTTCTCTGAAGGAAGTGATTACTGAATGGCTCCTGCGAAAATCCCTTCATGACCCTGGACTCTGTTCACACGGCCTGCCCCTCAGGGTGGTAGACTGGAGAAGCTGCCTTTGTGTGGCGCCTGGTTTAAGATTGATTGATTGATTGATTGATTGATTGATTGATTTGAGACAGAGCATGAGCAGGGAGGCAGAGGGAGAGGGAGAAGCAGACTCCCCGCTGAGCAGGGAGCCCGATGCGGGGCTCGAGCCCAGGACCCTGGGATCATGACCTGAGCCAAAGGCAGACGCTTAACCGACTGAGCCACCCAGGTGCCCCAAGAGTGGGTCATCTTTTGAAAAGTCTCCCCTTAGCCCATCTCAGCCCAAGCGACACCCAAAAAACAACAAGGTCTGTGCGAGCAAGGTGGCTACAAAAGCAAATCACGTATCTGAGAAACCCTCAGGAAAGGAAACCGTTGTCTTCCCTACAAATGGGAGATGCCTCCTCCGCCAGGTGTCCTCTCCTATCCTGGAGCCCCAGCATGACCTTCCTTCATTTCCAGAACTGACTTCTCCTGCATAGGACCAGGCTTCTTCCACCCCATTCAGGGGCTCCTGTGGGGTGACTCAGGTCTCTTAGAGTCCTGATGGGACTTTGCAAACCCCAAGCAACACATAGCAGAGCAATTGCTCAACTGATTCCTTAAATATCACCACCTGGGGTAAACGTGGGCCACCTGTTGAACAGCTGTACCACTTGGGCACTCAGCGCCAGAGGTGGGGAAGAGCTGCAATAAAACAAGAGGAAGAGGAACGTCCCAGGCAAGACATGCACAAGGAGAGCTGCGGCAGAGCCCAGCAGAGTGTCAGCTCAGCCCCTTGGCCTGGCTCCTCCTTGTCCTTCCAGTTTTATTATAAATACACTCGTATGAAACTAAGTACCACTCTGCTTTTGTATATCACTGTATAATTTAAGCATTTCTCATGCATTATCTCATTGGATCCCTTAGCACTTAAAATTGTTTAAAAATTAGCTAAATTTTAAATGTATTTATAATTTCCCCTATCCAACCCATGTATTTTTTGCAAACATTGTCTATCACTTTCTAATGAATGCGTGTACACACGCATGCACACACGCATGCGCACGCACACAGACAAATCCCTTTCACCTTTTTTCCCCCTCTCTTTTCTAAAGCAGCCATTCCTCCTCTGGCCAGTTCTCTGGACACCATAATTACAGGTTTTTGCAATTTTGCTTTCCTGTCTGAATCTCTAAGATGGTAATCCTTTGTTCCTTTTTCCACTCACCTTTGGAAAAAGTTTGTTCTTTGTACCTGTGGCTTGCTCCTCTACCTCCAGCTCCCACACAAGCTTAGCCAACTGTCTGCAAATTCTTTCATGACCAAAGGACATTTAGAGGCACAAGGATGGGGGCCACTGAATCACCTCCTCCCTAAGTCACTCTCTGGCATTTGCCCTTCTGCCCCTAAATATTATATTGTCTTGAATCCAGCTCTTTCATTACTGGTCAGGCGGCCTTGGAAACCTGACTTAAGCTCTCTGAGCTTCAGTTCCCTCATTGTAAAATCAAGATACTAGTGGAACTGACCTTATAGGCTTATGGTTAAGAACTAACAAGATGATGATGCCTGTGTATCACAGAGACCCATGCCTGGTGTGGCCTTGGTGCCCACAACCTTGCATCCTAAGCTGTCCACACACTGAGAGCGGAGCCCGATGTGGGGCTTGACCCCAGGACCCTGAGATCATGACCTGAGCCGAAGGCAGACACTTAACTGAGCCACCCAGGTGTCCCTGGAGATCCTGGATTTGAACTGGACAAGACTTTGGGTTTTCATTCTTGGTGATGGGGATTGGGGGTGAGCATATGTAACAGAATAGGGCATCCATGACACTGAGGAGTCAAAGGAGTTATGGTGGCCGATATCATTCAATATTCATTAAAAATTACTTTCTCTTGTGCCTTTCCCAGTATAAAAGTGAAAATACAGTTCTTGATTTCCCAGCTTCCTTGCTGCTGGGCATGACCATGTAATGCAGTCTAGTCAATGAAATGTAGGCAAAAGTTCACTGGGGCAGTCTTAGCTTTCAGAGTAAAAATACAAAGCCTTGTAAGGAGAAAGTCCTTCACCCTTTCCTGTCCTCCTGCTTTGAATGTGGATGCAAAGTTACAAGGAGAGTAGCTATCTTGCAACCATAAGGCAACAAGCAAGGAGTGAAATCCAGGAGGCCAATCACGGAGGAAAAGGCCCCGGTGGAATGACTGAGCAATCGCCCCCCTCAACCTGCCTATGTCTCCACGCTTAAACTGTGACTCTCCTACTTTTTTAAGCTATAGTTGCGCTTTCTTTTGTAGTTGATTGTAATACTAGCTGGTATAAGAGCAGGGATAGTGCAATTTTAAAAAATTTAGTAACTATGCCCTGAAATGGGGTCCCGTGAAGCACTAGGTGATGTGGGAAGGATTGGCTATGTGAGCAGTGAAAAACTCAGGTGATTGTGGAACTGACACAGAGGACAATCTGTTCACACAGGGCCTGGGAGCTGCAGAAGAGGATGAGAAGTTTGTCTAGAGTTAATTTGAGGATACAATGCTCCTCGGAAGATGCCCCAATATGACCCTGTGTGAGAAAAGGCCCAAGACAAGTGTAGAAGAGTAGATGCACCAACCAACACTGGGACTGACCAACTCCCAACTGCACTTCAGAAGAGTTGGACAAGATGGAGTTGAGTTGAGCTGTGGATAATTCTAGGATGTTGCATGCTCCTGAAACTAAGCTTTAGTTACCTATTTTCATAATTACTGCATTTTGAGTATTTGGGGAAAGGGGACTGTCTAAAGGTCTAATTTTAGGCATGCTGTCTAATGTCTAAAATGGGGTTTATTTTTCTCAAATATTTTTGGTCTTCTTTATAGGTTTCATTTGAAAAGTGTCAATTGTTTCTTTTTGCTCTGAAGATGGGCATGGTGCTGCTCATGACTCTCCCATGTAAGGAAGAAGAGAGGAGCCAGCTGAGCTGGAGCAGAGGTACGGAAACTCTAAGGACAGGGAGGTTGCAGAGATTCTGTCAGCCTCAAGTTTTCACAAGCTCTCCCTCCTTGAACCATTGATTTCCTTCCCAATAGCCCTACATTGCTTGTTTTTTTTTAAGATTTATCTATTTTAGAGAGAGAGAAAGCACACGAGCATGCAGGGGGGAGGGGCAGAGGGACAGGGAGTCTCAAGCAGACTCCTCGCTCAGTGTGGAGCCCGATACAGGGCTAGATCCCACAATGCAGAGCTCACGACCTGAGCTGAAACCAAGAGTCAGACGCTTAACCAACTACATCACCCGGGTGCCCTACCTTGTGGGTTGTTTTTTTTTTTAATGCTCAGTTAGCTATTGTATAGTACATCATTAGTTTTTGATATAGTGTTCAATGATTCATTAGTTGCATATAACACCCAGTGCTCATCACAACACATGCCCTCCTTAATACCCATCACCCTCTTACCCCATTGCGCCACCCCCCCCGAAACCCTCAGTTTTTTCCCGGGGTCCATAGTCTCTCATGGTTCATCTCCCTTTAAATTAATACCACTTTGAGGCACCGTTGATCACTTTACTATTTTCCCATGCTTTGCTAGATTTGTAGGACGTTGTGTGGGTCCTCAGCTGTGAAGTTACTGGGCTCAGGAGCATGCCCCTTGTCATCAGGCTGATGGGTGCTGCTTTCTTGCTTGATCTGTTGTGGTCATTTGCAGGGCTGTTACCTGAGTGGTTCTTGGGAGGTAAACTGAAATCTGGCCTTCTCCCCACTATGTGCCACAGGCATTTTTCCCCTGATCCTCTGAGGTATCGACAGATCTTGTCCTTTTTCTTGATTAACCATCTTTATCTTCACCCATCTCCATGATCCTGTTGACGGAGACTTTCCTCATCTGTTCTTTGATGTTTGCTATTTCCGCTTCACTTCCTTTGCCTTTACAGGGGAAAAAAGACTCCACATTGATTGCTTCTGAGCAAGGGGAGAGCTATTCTGTTAAAGTCTTTGGCATGGTGCCTCCCTCTGAGCATTTTTTATGTATTTTTAACATGTCCTACTTCTTCATGGCATCTTGAAAAGGGAGTAAGTCTCCTCTCCCCTTAATAATCTTTTTTATAGTTCTAATTTCTTCCTGTTCCACTAGGAATTTATGTATTCTCTATTTGAGTTTGCCAAGTTTCCAAGACTTTGAGAATTCCATTTTGATCAGGAGAGAGGATCATGGTCATCACCCCACTTTTATGAGCCTTGTGACTTCGGGACAGTCACTTAGCTCTGTGCACCTCTCGTTTTCCATTTACATGTAAGGATAAATATACTTTTACTGAAAGGCAAGGGATGAATAAGATAATTTCTCGAGCTTCTTTATTTCTTTAACACTTGGACTTCTATGATCAGGAAAGAGATGGTTTTCATCTTGTAATAATCTTTATTTCATGCATGTCCTGTCCTTTTCATTAGCCTATTACTCTCTCACTTTTCTTTTATTACATTTATGTCATACTGTGGGGTTGATAAAATTTGTGTAGCCCTTACAGTGTTCAGATACCCTTCATATGCATTATCTAGCTTTGTTCCATGGCTAGCACATGTAACTAATGAGATTTAAATTCTGTATCCTTAAACATTGTCACACAGGGATGCCTGGGTGGCTCAGTCGGTTAAGCGTCTGACTCTTGATTTCAGCTCGGATCACGATCTCAGGGTCGTGAGATCAAGTCCGGTGTTGGGCTCCGCACTGAGTATGGAGCCTGCTTGGGATTCTCTCTCTCCCTCTGCCTCTGCCCCTCCCCTACCTCACATGCACGCTCTCAAATAATAAAAAAAAACATTGTCAACAGAGTGTGATTGTGCTATGCTTCCTCTCTGCCACTCTACTTTCTCCCATATAACATTATATCAGGAACTCAATGCAAAGTTAACATATGTAGCTTTACCTTATTTTTTTTATTGGCTGTCTAATATTCAACTGTATGGATTAACATAATATGTCTAATCATTCTCCCACTGAAATAATTACATTGTTTTCAATTTTTTGCTATCACAAATAATATTGCAATGAATGTTCTTATACATATATATTCATGCAATTATTTCTGTAAGATATTTTCCTAGAAGTAGGATTATGGCTTCTAGGATATGCTCACTCTTAGTTTAATAGCAACACATCCTAAATCATTGCATCCATATATGACTTTTTAACATTTGGCTCAGCTCTGTCCCTTTTCGTCTTGACAACTCAATTCTTTTCTTTACACTTAAAATATGGCATTGTCCTAAAAAAAATATATATATATATATGTATATATATATATATATATACATATATATATACATATGTCCTTCCTTTGATGCAAAAATCCTGGAGATTTATCCTATAGAAATAATTAAGGATGAGTCAGAGATTAGTTATAAGGATTTAAAAAGTTATCATCATTAACTACCTATTATGTGCCAGGCATTGTATAAGGTATGTTAAATATATTATTTCACTTAATTATAACAATAGGCTTTGGTGTAGGTACTGTTTTTAAACTCATTCCACCAATGAAGAAACTGAGCCTTAATAAGATCAAGCAACTTTCGCAAAGATATGCAGCTGATATACAGGGAATCTGGGAGCTGACTTGAGAAAGTTTGTCACCAGAACCCACAGGATTAACCACACACGAACTCCTTCTAGCACAGTATGCAATAAAGAAATGTTGGAAATAACCAAACTATCCAAAAAGAAAGGAATGGTTAAATAAGTATGATATTTTTATACAACAAATATTATATACAAGCATTAAAATTGTGTTTCCCAAATTTATTTCTTATTACCTATATGACAAGATATTCCTGACTTTGGGTGATTTAAAAAGAGATATTGCAAAGTGGTATGATGATGGTCCCATATTTGTTTTTTTAAAAATTGAGTGAACCCAGTTCCTTCTATATGCAAGGAAGAGCAAGAAGATCATCTTGGGGTTCATAGGATTGAGAGTGATTTAATATTTTAATATTATCTTTTGATTTTTAAATTTCTTCTGACTTTTTCTATAATAATTATATATTACTTTTGTAAGAAGAGTAGATTAAAACTAAGTCTTTTTTTTTTAAGATTTTATTTATTCATTTGAGAGAGAGAGAGCATGATAAGGGGGAGGGGCAGAAGGAGAAGAAGCAGGCTGCCCACTGAGAAGGGAGTCCAACTCAAGGTCCAATCACAGGACCCCAAGATCATGACCCCAGCTGAAGGCAGATGCTTAACGAACTGAGCCCCCCGGGTGCCCTAAAACTAAGTCTTTTAAAAGTAACAAAAAGGAGATCCAGTTTTGTCAAAAAGGTTTTTTGTTTCTGTTTTATGTATTACAGAAAGAAGTTTGATATTATTGAAGTGGGTTTGAATTTCCAAGAAATTTACTTCACCTATTTGATATTCTAGTTTATTTCATCTATCATCCATAAATTGACATAAAATAATCAATCTTTCCCTTGTATATTTGCAAGTCTATTTTTTTTTTACTTTCGCTTTTATTCTTTGACTTTCTCTTTTACATTTGTACATCTTTCCAGTCTGCTCCCATAGCTTCTGAAAACCCACATTACTTTCAGGGCCTTCCTTCTGCTTTTGGAGATGTTGGGCTTGGACACAGCTTTGGCCTCCCACCCCTGTCTCCTGACCGAGTGGAGTTTCTGTGGAACTTTTTAGTCCATTCTGTAGGAAGTTAACTCCAACCACTGTACCTATTTAACTAGGGTTTTACAGTTTAAAAGTGCTTTCGCATGCATACCCATATTTGATTTTCCCAGTAAGTCTTTATAGGAAACAGGAAAAGTCTTATAAATCCCATTTTATAGAAGAGAAAACTGAGCTTCAACAAGTTTGACCTCACGAAATCCACACATCTAGCAAGTGGCAATGCTTAGGAGCAAAACCTAACCTCCTGACTCTAAGCCCAGTACTCTTTCTTTCTACCACCACATACCACCTCTGAAGAGAGTTATCAAAGACCACCAGATAGATAACTATTTCCCAGATTTAAAGACTTATACCTTAATTGGGCAAACAGATCCTTTTAATATCCAAAATGGGACCTACGCTGTGCTTCCAGTCAAGGTAACTCTGGGTTAAAGGCCACCCTTGTCCCAGACACAGCAGACACAGAGCTATCCATGGTCCTGAGATCACTTGCCTTGAGCCCACACTGACCCTCTCGCTCGTGCCCATCTGACTTGTTCATTACTTGGTCATTACTACACCACTCATTCTTTCAAATCTCACTGACTGTTCTGTCTCATGTGGCCTCTATTTCTCTTCTTGGTTATTCATTTCAGCAGGTCTCTGGCTCAGTAGTGTCTACTGGTCCAGAGTTCCATATATGCTCCATAAAAACTTTTCCTTACATGGTTGTTATCCTTAAATCCAGGAGTAAACCCAACTCCTTGATAGTAAATTTCTCTACTCATCTTCAGCCTTGAAAAATGAATATCAATCTGATTCCAATTTTTCTTTTTAGCCTTCTGCATATTTAGGCCATCTGTTTCATGTGTATCTGCCTTCAGTCTTTGTTTACCTATACTTTATTAATGTCTTTTCTTATTTTTTTTTTTCTCCTAAATTTGCCTTGTCTCTTTCTTGCTTCTCAGGCTTTATGCAATGAGCTGTTTCTATTGCCACTTTCCCACTTCTGGGGTTTCTGGTCCAACAATAGTTAACCAATATGCTTCTTAGTTTTAATTTGTCTGATCTCGATCAGTGTCTCTCAAAAAAAATGGCCCAGAGTCTATGTAAGTCAAAAATCCTCTGTGGCTATCACTAACATTTAGATTTCCAGGCTCTGTCTCTGACTGATTCTTCTGCTTTGGCCTGGGGCCCTTCTTCTTCTGGTTTCCCTTATTATGGACTGGGATACCCTTGTTCCCAACAAAGCCCTGGCAAGCACATGACAAAGTCGATCTGAGCTCTGATTTCCAAGACCCCATGCCATCATTTATTTCAGTGGCTATTTCTACTCTTCTGTCCTTTGCCCCCATTGGACTGTGTGTGGTTTGTGACTACACCATGCTCTCATATCTCTCCTCTCCTGCTCCTCTCCCCTTCTCATCCTCTACCTTAACTTCACTTTTCTTTATTCTTCTTCATGGGTAGCCTGCTGGTATCTCCTGTAGCTCTCGTATCTAGCTTGAATAGCTCTAGTATTCCGATAGTATTTCCTCACTCTTCTCTCTCTTTTTTTAATCATTTCTGAGGGACATGTGTTTTCATCCCAGAAGCTGCCATCTCTAAGGACAAATCTGTTTGGTTCTAATGATAAAGTTGTGAGTGAAGTTGAAATAAGGATTATTACTCCTTTCCAGCTAAGGGGACTGAGATCTAGAAAACTTCAGGTTCAAGGTCAGTGACAGAGGTGAAACTAGAAACGTGGTCTGAAGATTTTTATATAGCAATTCAATTCCACAAATATTTCCTGACTCTCTACTATGGACAAAGCACTGAATCAGGCATTGGAAATACATGCATGGAGATAAACTGCCCCTCTGGTTTCATGAAGCTTCCAGTGGTCATGAGGAGGTTAAGAAATGCCCGCATAACATAGCATCAGCAGTTGTGTGCAGTACTTCAAGCTCTAATACATTTAATCATGAAATAGGACCTAGAGAAAGGAGGGAATGCTTGAATGCTTTTAACTAGGAGCCAAGAAGTGATGGCATAAGAATTCTTGGCTGTGTGGAGTTTGAGATGGGCATTAAAAGCTATGTAGAATTTCTAGTGGAATACGTTGCATGTTTGGAGAGAATACCCTGGGAACTTCAGGCTTGGGGGTTAAGAGATTTGAGAAGTAGGAAAGTTTAGGGAGGTAACTTGAGGTCACATCATGTAAGGACTTCAATGTCAAACTAAATTTGAGGTGGGAAAATCTGTAACTCTTATTATTAGACAGGCAGCCTTCACACATGAATGGGAAAAACACAGAATCCTAAATATTATTTTACAAATGATAGTACAGATTTGGGCATATAAAATGGAGAACTTTAGCAAAAACAGAGGATGAGACAAGCACAGAGACTCTGAGCAAGATGGTGACAGCAATTCTGAGCCTCAAGTGGGGGATCAACACTCAAAGAGTAGCCCTGGAGAGGGCAGCCTTCCATGTCAAAGAGAAAGCTGACACATGCTGCCCAGAGTTTATGCTGGCTTCCCTATGAGTGTCCTGAGTCCAAAAGATTGCCTGAATCTTGGGGTCTTTGCGATGTCTTTCACATTGTAGTAATGGTAAATAAAAACTCCTATAAATGCAGCAAGCCACTAGGGTGGTAAAATAGGGAGTGTGGGAAAAGGTGATGTTTAAGTACAAGCTAAAGGCTGACTTTTCTAAAGCATGTATTAGTGGCATGTAGCTAAAAATAGCCACCTGTTCCAGGTCGGATTGCAGATTGGGAGAGCTCTTCACATACCATATTCAAAAAGCATCTGTCACCCAGTAGCCATGGCAACAGGCATCCCTGAATTGTTGTGGAGAGATGTTTTTGGAATGGAGCTGGAAAAGGAAGTGGACATAACTGCCTCTGGGTAAGGGGTGAGACTTTCTGGTCCTCCCGTGAGTTGAAGCCTCATCCTTCTTTCCTACTTCCCAGCCCTTCTCATTTTGCACAGCCATTGGTTCTTATTTTTTCTGAAGAAGTAGCCTCTAGAGTTAGTGCCTTTCCAATAGACTGGACAGGGAGAGGAGATGGGGAGGACATGAAGAGATGGGATGGGAAGCCAACCTGCTTGGGTGAGCCTGGGTGAGCTCCAGGGAACTCCTGGAGAAGGAAGTAGCTCAGAATCTAATGTGTACTATGTTATTTTGCTATTTGCATATTTCCTTTGTCAATGATCCTCTTAAAATGTATTTGTCACTTCATGTTGACAATATTAAAATGTCATGGATCCGTCTTTTTGTTTCTATTGCTTTTTATTCTTTGTAAATGCCTTGAGAATAGGGAGTCCTCTTGTAGTTCCCCACGTAGCACTAGAACACTCCTTCAATCTGTCAGTGCTGCTTGTCAGATACAGCAGCATGAAGTTCTCTTAGGGCTCAGAATGTCTACCCAAAAGTTGTGTTTTTCCCTCCACCTGTCAACTCCCAGGAACCCCAATTCTGACAAATGGTTGAACGTGTTGAGCAGGACTCTGTTGTGCCGGTCCTCCTTGAAGACAGTCATAAATTATGAATGAGACCACTCCAAATAATTGTGCACAATAAACACTCTTAAGTGCATGAATAAACATAAATGACTAAAGATGCTTGGGATGACTTTGGTGGTAAGGGCAGAAATGTGAGGATGAAAAAAAGCCAGAATCTCTTGAGTGTGTTCTCCAGGTGACTGACAGCCTGAATAAGGCAGACATTTGAACTCCAGAGAGACAGGACCAAAATCAGATTACTAGTCAGGTGAGGAGTCAGCATATATTTTCTGAAGACACAGTCAAGAGTCCTTGTGGCAGATCTGCATGAGATCTGCACTGGGCAGGATCTGAAAACTATCTAGGCTCCTCTAGGAAGGGCTTTTTGCAAGCACATATTTCTAAATCCTGGCTAATAAGGTCGCTGAAGGTCACTTTTCCCTAGTAGTCTCCTCAATGCCCTCTTGCTTGCCTAATGAAGAAAATATTTATCAAATACCTATGCCTGTGTGTTTTTCAGAGTGCACAAAACTCTAAACTCAGCAGGCATAGGACCGTTCATTCATTAATTCATTCAACAAACCCTTCTTGAGTGCCACTGTGTGCTGGGTGCTACACGGTCCCTGTGGGACATTGTTGTTGCTGTTGTTGTTATAATGGTTCCTGGTGATGATGATAATCATTCCAGCTATGGCAAGAGCACTGCACAGGCAGCCCAATTAAGCACACAGTGTGTTAGCTGCAGTTGACCCTTGAACAATACAAATTTGACCTGCCTGGATCCACTTACACATGGATTTTTTTTTCAATAAATACAGTAGAGTACTGTAAATGTATTTTCTCTTCTTTATGATTTTCTTAACACTTTCTTTTCTTTAGCTTACTTTATTGTAAGAATACAGTATATAATACATATAACATATAAAATATGTGTCAGTTGACTATGTTCTTGCTAAGGCTTCTGTCAACAGTAGGCTATTAGTAGTTAAGTTTTTAGAAACTCAAAGTTGTATGCGGATTTAAAAAAAAAGTTATATGTGGATTTTTGACTGCAAGGGGGTTTGGCACCCCTAGCCCCTATAGTGTCCAAGGGTCAACTGTATATTTTGTTTTCTCTATTCTTGGTGCTCCAGCCTAGGGCATCTCACTAATACTGGAGAGACAGCCTCTCCCAGGGCTAATTCCTAAAGATAGCAAATGACTCCCCTGTGAATCCGTGTTTCATATGCAAGCCAACCAATTCCGAGCCTATACTTGCCAACTACTTCCTTTATGGAGCTCTCACAGGTTGAGCCACTATCCCCCTGCCACAATCACTCCAGGGCCAGGTACCAGGCAACTAGGGGAAGTCCCTATACCCCAGGGAGCTTGCTAAAATTATTCAAACTAGCCAATCCTAAACCTGCATTACCTGCTTACCCTGCCTCACCCATTCTGTCCTAGGAAAACCACTCTAAAGGCTCTTGCTCATGTTTTCCCTTCACTCCTTCTGCCTCCTGACCAACCCTCATGCTTCCCTGTGTGGTGTGGAGTGCCCCTTCTCTTGAGAACTGTAACAAACTGTCTTTCCAATGGCAATCATCTCCTGATCTGTTGGCCTCATTCTACCCGAATAATAATAAAACTTACATTTTAAAAAAAGTTTTATTAAGTAATCTCTACACCCCACATGGGGCTCAAACTCATGATCCGGAGGTCAACAGTTGCATGCTCCTCTGAGTCAGCTAGGTGCCCCAATAAAACCTATATTTTAAAACAACAAGAGCTCAAGGGCTGGAGTCAGATCACCTGGATTCAAACTCATCTCCAGCATTTACTGGCTATGAGACATAGCCTTAATTTCTTATCTCTAAAATAGAAACAGCATCTAACCCATTGGGCTCTTAGAAGAGTTAAATGAGATATTCCTTATGAAGCACTTAACCTATAGTAACTGTCATATATGAGTGCTGAATAAACATGAGAACTAGATATAGATTTGAGAGGAAATAGAATGCAGGGCTCATGCCTCTTTGAAGTTTACAATCAAGTGGAACTTTCTAGAATTTCCAAAAAGGCTTCATATTCCTTATCTTATTTCATCCTGACAGCTCTGTGAAGGTAGATGGGTAGGTAGGGCACCCAGGTTTTACAGACAAGGAAACTGAGACTGAAAGTGAACTAGCTAGTCAATGGAAAAGGTTGGACTAGAATCCAGCTGTCCTGACAACTAGTTTCTTCCACCAGGCCTTTCTACAGAGAGGACGGATGTGGTGTGGATGAGGACTTGGCAGTCAGGAGGACCAGGCTTCAAAGCCAGCTTCACCACTCCTTAACTTGCTCATGCTAAGAAAGGTTAGAAGTCTCTGATCCTCCATTTTTTTAAATGCTGAAAAGGGGGAAATAATTTCTTCAATCAGACTTTTAAAAAGGAATTTAAATAAAAAAGCTAGCTGGGGTATGGGGCAATGAGCACTCTCTTATGTAAAGCACTCTTATTTTCTTATAAGGAAATCTCAAATATAGAAAAAGCTATCTGCACAGGGTTGCTTACCATAATACTATCCGAATACAATTTGGAAGCAAATGACATATTCAACAACAAGGAGATAGATAAATTATAGTATAGTCATGTGACAGAATAGTATACAGCCATTAAAAATGATGTTTCCAAAGTTCATAACAAAACCTGTATTGACTGTTAGGTCAATAAGTCATGCATTCTCTCCCACTTTGGTATCACAAAAGTGCTGAAAGGGGCCTCCCTGAGGCAGCAAGAGTGTCGCAGAGTGAAAATGTTGAGAAAAAAACAGATCGAGACAGCAGCATATGAGCCCAGAGACTGGACACTTGCTACCCAGTGTTTCAGTGAATGCCATAATGAGATCAGGGCAAGGTCACCATCCGTCCCTTGTTTTCCTCATGTTGGGGCCTTTGTCCCTCCCATTTATATCCTTATGCTTCGAACTGAGGAGGCAGCACTTACTTTCTGCATCAACTTTACCCGCTGTTTAAACCTGCTTTCTTCTGCACCTCTGAGTTTACCCTGCCTGGATCTTAGCTTTCCTTCACGTGGCTCAGCTTAAACTTACCCTTCCTGGTCTGTAACCAGATTGGCTGCACCTACAGTATGCTTCCATTTTGGCTGAACCTCCCGGTCCTCGCACTCATCAGTTTGCATTGGAACTGTGGGGCAGCTGCCCTTCCTTCCCACCAGGCAGAAAGCTCTGCCAGGGTAGGGCTGGGCTCCTCTTTCTCATGTTCCTCATAGTCCACAGTCAGAAGCTCAATGTACTTTGGTAGATGAATGGATGAATGAGTGAATGAGTGAATGATTTATGTATGTATGCAGGTTGTTGGTGTGTAAGGAGGATTTCGGGCATGAGTTTCTGGAATTCTGAGTAACAGGCTGCCACACTCTGCCAGCCGACAGCTCCCCCTGTCCCTGCTTTTACTTTTCTCCCCAGTTCAGGAAATGGCCAAGTCAGCGACACTCCCCCCCACCCCCACCCCAGGACAGCACAGACAGCCTTGCGAGGGAAAGAGGGTTGTCACTCCCCTGTTCCTTTCTCCAGCCCAGCAGAAGTCCTAGGACAACCCTCCAGGGGCTGGTGCTGTGCAGCCAGTCCTGAGCACAGAAACCAAAGAGGCTCTAACAGGGAGGGTTTGGGGGTCGTGCTCTCTCCACAAAACCTGCGTGGAGCCTCTGCTCAACACTGGTGCTGTTTGTGTATCTTCCTGCTTCCTCCCAAACAGCTCGTCCCAACTGGATCGTAAATAAGAGAACAATATAGCCACATATTAATAGTCTCTGTGAATCACTGGTGACTAATTTTTCCCATTTTGTAACCCCAAATAGTTTTCTCTTTGGGCTCCTAGTGAGGGCAAAAAACAGCCAATCATTTAGATGACAATGCACATTTTTATTAAAAATAAAAAAATCCCTTTCTTAACATGGGACAGAAGGTTGGCAAGTACAGATATTTAACCAATGACTACTTTTCTTTCTCTAAAAGTGATATTTTTATCTGTACCCAGCTCAGAAACTTTTTCACTGAATCAAAGAACTTTTTCCACTGAATCTTTAGGCTACGAGGGCTTTTCGAGGCTCTATGGTCTGTCCTCTAACACCCAGAGAAGATTGAAAAGTCAAAAAAAAAAAACAAAAAAAACCCCCAAACCCAAACCCAAAATACAGAAAACAACAAACCCCAGAGTGAAAGGTATCACTCCTGTTTTTCCATTGTGTTTGTTGGCTGGGTCTCCTTAGCAAAGAAATGGTCTTCCCGTATTTTGGTTACATATCATTATGTTCCATTTAGTAAACCCAACTTACAAAAGAGGCAGAGACAGCCAGTTTCTAATGCCCCAGTGCCTCTGACATGTTCTTATTTAATACTAATTGCTCCCTGTAAAATTTGGCCTCTTGAATTTTGTTTTTCCATGATCAACATTCTTCAGTGTCTCCTACCAAAAGGCTCTATCAGTCATGCATAGCTTAGAGAATTTATTGCATTGCCTGTGAGGATTTATTTCTATGCAGTGTTTCTCTAGAAAACTTGTCTGACTCCTAAATCAAACAATGGAGGGAAATGAGGGTTGGGGAAAAGGGTCAAGAGAGGCAATCTGGGGTAAGAGGAGAAAATATCTAAAGATGTTTTCTTTATCCAGAAAGCAAGATCGTCTGCATTCAGCGTTCTAAATGGTTGAGAAATTAATTGACAAAGGTGTGTGGCTTAGAGGTGTCCTGTGTGTGTGTGTGTGTGTGTAGAGGTGACAAAATGTGGGCTGAGCAGGCATGGTCAGCTGAGTGGCGGGGCCCAGGCAGAAGAGGGTGGCTGGAAGAAAGAAGAGCTGGGAGGCCCCCGGGCTTCTGAAGGACGAACAGGGTGGGTTCTGGGGAGTCTTGCTCTCCTCCAACCTGGCTGAGGTCCAATCATAGCGCAAGTCTCAAGTCCTACCGCTTGCCCCTAAGGACTCTGGCTAGGGCTGGCTGCCTCTTCTGAATATTCCCATTGATTGTGAAATAATGCAAGCAGGCAGCCTGTAATAATTTGAGGCATGCAATGTCCTCTTGCCCTGGAGAGCTCAGACCTGCTCCTTTGGGTTTGAGTCCGTTTCTTGCTCCCAGAACCAAATGACTTTTCACTTCCGGATCTCTACCCAAGGCATGTTTTGACCATGGACCCAGCAGGCTTCGAGGAGCCAGGTTTTCCTGCCTGCCAACTGAGATTTGCCAGTGCTGATTTTACACATTCCTATCAGTTTTTAACGAGCATTTTGTTTTAGCTATAAAATCGCAACTGCAGGGCCATAAACTTACAGATCATGTGATTAGAAGTGCATGCGTTTGTTTTCCAAGGGTCTCTACATACAACATAAGTTCCTAATCTTTCATTTACCCCTCTCCTTGGTCAACTACTCCACAGGTATTAATTGAGCACTTGCTGTATGCAGAGCCCTATTCTAGATACTATAGAGGGCATGAAGAGAGTCGCAGCCTCTTCTCAGGATTTGAAGCTAGAAAGGAGTGAACAGATGAGTACTAAGCAATCAGCTCCATCAAGCCAGGTGCGCTCACCCTCCTATTTCTGGTGCCCTCTTCTCTCTGAAGCCTCATTCTCCTCTCCCACATTGCCCTCTGTGCCCCAGCCTTCAACGTCTCTCAGTGTCCGTAGGGTGATGTCCTCTCTCTCTCCAGTCACTGGTCATTCACACCTGCTGTCTGCTTGACATAAAATACCAGTCTCCCCATAACTGTCACCTTTTCCAGGAAGCCTTCCCTGACTAACCCAAGCCCTCCCCACCCCCCTCCCCTGCCAAGTACTCCCCAGGTCAAAACATCCGTCAGACTCCATTGTTGTTCCTTATTTCATCATCTGTCACTTATTTCATCATCTGTCACTCCTGCGAGCTCTGTGAGGGCAGGGCCTGCGTCTGTCTCCTGTCTGTACCTCCAGTGCCTAGCTCAGTGCCTGGCCCTTGTAGAAGGATATATTAGAAGAGGGAAGAAAGGCCTTCCCCCCACATAGATAGAGAGAGGCCCTGGAGCAGCTCGCTTCATGACCCGTCCTGCTTTGGAGGCACCTTCCATTTTTGTCTTACCCACTTTGAATTCCGGATGGTGACAACACACTTCCCTCATCATACCCCATGGCTGTGGGAACCCCAGACAGGGCTTCCCCAAGCCTGGATAGGTCAAGGCTATGAGAATCTGATACCTCAGCCGTTGGCTCAGACACTAGTGACCAACCCTCTATGAGAGTTTGCACAGAGTTATGCACAAATCTTTAGTTCTATGGGCCGGACAAGCCCTGATGAGTACCGGGGCTCCACCAGCCCTCTGCTTTCTCACAATACAGGCAAGTCCCTCATCGTGGCTCAGCAGTATCTTATTTTAGGCCTGTTAGGGCAGATAGACAACTCCTGTCTTTTCTTCCAGCAAATAAAATTGCTGTTTGGCTGGCAGAAAATGGTGACTATTACTGAGGAGAAGTTGGCTCTGGTTGACTCTCATTTCTCTGCCAGAGTCATTCAGGGCATTTCAGCAATCTTGGGAATTTATATATACACACACATGGATATTCATTACAGCATTAGTTACACAGGCCTGGGTAGTAGGGACATGTGACACTAGGGCAGGGATTGGGGTCAAGGGTAGGAGTGGGGACAGCTAGGAGCCAAAAGTTGGGGCCAAGCTGAAGAGCACAGATAGCTTCCACTTGGAAGGCCAGAGGTAAGACCTGAGGTCGGAATAGTAGATCCAAGAGTGGGAGTCAGGTGTCCGTAGGGGCAATGGGACCATTGCACAAGAAGGTTGAGAGTAAGGGGGTGGCCCTGGGCAGCTGCCTGGAACACTGAGTAATGGTTGGTGAGCCAGCAGGGATGTGGCGCAGGGGTGGGTCAGGCTGGTTGCAATGACTATGGGCAAGATGTATAAAACAGGATAAAGTTCATGCCAGCAATTTAAGCTTAAAATGTCACAGGTGAAGAGGAGTCTTGTGCATAAATAGTCTCCTATGAGAGGGGCCAGGGAGCCTCATCCTGGTCCCTGGAGTGCTTCCTGGAGGTGGTAGCATTTTAGAGGAGGCTTGGTGGTGGAGGTCACATACCGTCTATCTTGTCTGGCTTAGGAGAGAGAGGGACACTTGAGTGGAGCTAAGCCGTGAAGACAAGGCTGTGCTCCGTTGGCTGGAAATTGGGTTGGAAGAGACTGAGGCCCTATGAAACCTGCTATATGCCAGGTTCTGTGCTAGAATTTACTTCTAGTTAAGTTTTTATTAAAATCTATTAACTTATAAATTAGAATTATCATCATAGCACAGGGAGATCTGAATGATTAATCCTATTTTAAAGATAAACCAAGGCCTTGATGAAGGAAATTTGCCCCAAGGCCTGCAAGGTTACAGTGAGGAGAGGTTGGGGAGAAGCAGGGGGTGGCCTTGAGGAGGAACACCTAAAAGTCCAGGTGAAGGGTTTGTACTTTGGATGGACTATAGAGGGTTTTGGTGGTTTGATTATGTTTTTTTGGGACTAGCAATTCCAGATGATTGATTGTCAAAGGCACTCTAGAGCCCAGAACCAGCTCTGACCCTTTGCCCAACCTTTTCCAGAGGCTTTGATAGGTATAGTGTTAATGCTGTGTGATTCTTTCCCACTCAGACAGTAAAAGGTTAGTTGTCTTAAAGGAGCTGGACAGCAAAGACACCAAGTGCTTGGCTCTGGGGGCCCAAGGTCTCGGTTCTGGAGGCCCAAGGTCTCAGTCCAGGTATGAGGAGAGGTCAAAAGACGGTGAGATATAAAACATGTACACTTCTGTTTTGGACACTCCTCTCTACCTCCTACCCCACCTCCAGATTGATACCCTCTAACCTGGAGAAGAAGAAGAGAGTTTAAAAAGGGAGATGCACCCCCAGGGCTTTATGGGGCCCTGTCTCCTCCCAGGGCCCAGGGTGGTGGAAATGGCAGACGCCCCTCTAAGGATGGAGGTCAAGCATGGTGAGTACTTGTGCCTCTGGGAAGTCCAGGGAGGAAGGCAAGCCTCGGGGGGTCCCCTCGGCCCCCAAGGTGTGTTCCAGAGACCCAGAGTAGAAGGAGCAGTGTGGCATGCCTAGGCAGAGAGCACCTGCAACCCCACCCATGCCTCCTCCCACTCCCCACCCCCTGCACACACAGGTTTCCCGTGGCTCTTGCAGGGGGAGCAGGAATGAGCTTAGAGAGCATGGCCACAGGGAAGCCGCGGGCCTGAAAGGGGCCTCTGCAGGAGGGCGTGGTACAGAGAGGCTGGAGCAGCTTACAGCAGCCAGCCAGGGTCCAGACGAGGCCTGTACACAGGCTCGGGGGTGGGTATATTTGATGACCAGACAGAGACACATTACATCTCACTCGGACTTGGAACAGATTGAGCCGTGATGTTGCCTCCCTGTCTGCACAGATGTAGCAGAGTCTGCACTCAGCATCAGCTTCAGGGAGGAGTGAGAACGCAAATCCTGAAATGATTGAGAACATGACTCCAGTGACCAATTTACCTGGAAACAGCTCTGCTAGTTTTTCTGCATCAGCCAGAAGGGGGGCTTGAGACGGAAAAGAACTCCAATCACAGAAAGAGAAAATGACATTGTACACACCAGTCTTCTGGGGGGCGGGGGGCCGACCCTCTGTGTTCGCTTCTTGCCTTCTTTCTCCCCTTCCCCATCCTGCACCCCAACCCATCTGCTTCAACATGCTGAACTGGGCCTCCTGTCCACAGCACACGGTGGGCCTGGTGAGAAAACCAGGACTTTAGAGCCTGAAAATCGTAAAGCTAGAAGGGCCCATAGAGATGGGGTTGTCCACTGCCTGCATTTCACCGGTAAGGAGACTGGGGCCCAAGGAAAGGACGTGCCTCGCATAAGGTCTCAACACAGTTGAGTGACCGAGGTGAGAAAACTTGGTTCTTGAATGTTTCCCACCACCTTTTCCCATCCAGCTCCTGTCGAGACTGGTCACCCAGGTGAGGAAAGCACGCCCTGGCCCCACAGCCACAGCTCATTGGGTCTGAGCCACCTCTCTTGCTGGCTGGCTGGGTGATTTAGAGCAGATGTCACCCAGGACAGGAGGGGGGGGCATGAGGGGAGAGGGGCACTGCCCAGCATAGAGCCTTACGGGTGGCCCTCCTACAAACTGACCTCTTGGCCCCAGAACAAAGCAGTTCTCCAACACGCCATGGATCATGCCTTGTGGGGGACGACATGACACATGCCAGGGATTCTTTCCAAGCCACAACTGCTTTGGAGTCATGGCAGCAAGTCTCTGCCTGCTGGGGCCTGCGAGCTCCCCCCAGGCTGTGGGGCAAGAAGAGAAGTCTTAGACTTCACCGAGGTAGGAGTGCCGGCTGCCAGGAGACCACTGGGAACATTGAGGACTCGGGGGGACAAGCAGTTGGGCCTCCCTGTCCTGAGGGTCGGCTCTAAATCACCGCCAACCTCGTGCAGAGGACAAGCCCCAGTGTTGTGTTTACTCTGCCAGGAGCTTTTGCTCACTGTCCTCATTTACTCCTCACAGCCCAGTAGACAGGGGTTACTCTCTCCTTTTTAGAGATGAGGAAAATCAAGTTTGGAAAGGTTAAGTGACTTGAGGTTGAGGTCACACTGTTTTTAAGGAGAGGCTCTGGGATTAGATAAGATAGATCCTTGTGTGTCTTCAGCTGCAGAGCGCCCCCCCGCCCCGAGCCTCTCTCCTGGGGATCTCTTTTTCCTGGGAGTCCTTCCCAACAGAGTCTAAGGGGGCAGAGAGGGAGACTGCGAACAGCCCAGCCTCGCAGATTAGGGGCTGGGAGTCAGGACACTCAGGCCCTTGGCTTCACCTCTCACTGGCCCCTTTCCCTGACCACACACTTCCCTCCCAAGGAGGCTGTTCTCTGGGCAGTGACTGGCACTGGTTCTCAGGCTCTCCCACATTCCCTCAGGGCCATTTTAAGTTGTGAGCACCTCAGCTTTGTGTCAGGAGCAACACTCGAGGAAGGTCGCTCACCTTACGAGCAGAGCTTACCATAATCCAACAAACCTACGACGAAGTCAGACTTACATACAATGGAATGCCGAGCATAATCATTATCGAAACTGGGGCCCAGGCCCCTTCTCACCAAGTCTCGACCTTGGAGATTATGGAAATGAGACCTAAATGTTGAACACTTCCTAACATTGACTGGAGTGTTCTTTTACACAACTCAGTCAAATTTTTACTTTTTCAGTCCTCACTTGGTTGGCTCTTTAGTTATAATCTGCACTGGGGCTTGAAAGTTTTCCTTGGGGCGCCTGGGTGGCTCAGTCGTTAAGCGTCTGCCTTCGGCTCAGGTCATGATCCCAGGGTCCTGGGTTCGAGTCCCACATCAGGCTCCCTGCTCGGCGGGAAGCCTGCTTCTCCCTCTCCCACTCCCCCTGCTTGTGTTCCTGCTCTCGCTATCTCTCTGTCAAATAAATAAAAAAAAAAAATCTTTAAAAAAAAAAAAAAGAAAGTTTTCCTTGGTGTCATGGCTAGTTTTATCCTCATTCCATTCCCCACTCCTCATACCATATGCGCCCTGATCCCCACACATATCGAAAGGTAGAGGCTGGTGCCTCTGCTCACTGATGGCAGGGCCCTTGCTAACCCTATCATGGTCCAGGGATGAGATTCCTGGGGTCCCCTCATAGATTTACAGAGGATTCTAGTTTCTCCTGCACCCACATTCTTGCCCAATTGCACGTGCACACACACACACACACACAGATGCACCTAAGCATGCCCAGAAGGAGGAATCCTTGAAATACCATCTATTCCCCACCCCAAGCTTTGGGTGCTAGGTGGACTCAGGTGCAGGAATCGGGCCCTGAGGCTGTGGAAGGTTGGAAAGATCTCCTGAACCCTCCCTCCGGGCCTTCAACTGCATCTGCTCCCATTCCCTGAAGGGTTAAGGTGTCCCTGGGTGACCAAGTGGGGCCAGAGCCTGGTTCCCACTCGGCACTGGTGGCCTGACTCAGAGAGCAGTATGTGGTCCCCTCTGCCAAGTCCTGTTGGGAAGGATGCTGTTCCCTGTTTCCGAGGACCTGCTCTACTTCCCAGGCAGGCAGAGGAAGCAAGAAAAGGTGACACCCACTGGGTTTACAGAAAAGCCTGGCCCCTGGCCTTTTCCTTGTGTGGTGGTTCCAGGGCCTCAGGGGCAGTGAGCCGTGGGGGAGCCCTCCTGGTGGATGCCAGAGATCAAGGGGAAGGTAATTTGGGCACGTGCTAAAAATAGGCCTGGTGGTTATTTTAGAGCTGTTTTGCTTGAATCAGAGGAGTAAATTTTGGATTTTGCTCAAACTTCCTGTCAATCTCACCAGTCTCTTCCTCCTCCGCTCACTCCCCAGGCTGGTGGCATTCGAAGGGTTTTGACTATGACCCATGGTCATTTTACCCCAGGCTCTATACACACACACAGAATTGAAAAAGAACCGTGAAGCGTTACTTCCCTTTACTAGATACAAAGCATTCTTATGTTCTAGCCTGTCCTATTTCACTTTTTAAAACGACTGGTTATGACCCACTAATGAATGTAATGACTGGTGAGGAGCACCCGCAGTTTGAAAAACATTTAAACAACCTATACTTCCTTTTTTCTTTTCTCCGATGGTGTCACTAGTCAGTTATGTGGCTTTGGGCAGATGGCCTCAACTTTACAGAACTTTGTTTTTTTTTTCATCTATGCAGAGAGGGTTGGTCAATCAAATTGATTCCCTGAGGTTGTGTGGATTTGTTGCATTCTTTCTTTAAAGGGAATCAATCAGCTGTGGCATTTTCTGGGCAGGCCCGATTTGGAGTTTAAAGTGTCAAGTTTGAAAGGAAGGGAGTTGGGCATCTTTCTTCTATCAGTTTAGCCTTGGCTTTGTGAAGAGTTGAGCTTTGGAGGTGGGCAGATCCATCCCCAACTCCCCATGGGTCAGTCATATAGCTTCCTGAACGTCTCTGTGCCTCAGTTTCCTCCTCTGTAAACAAGGATGACACTGTCTCACAGGGCTGTTTGGGGGTTAATATGACAACGACAGTGAAATTCTCTCCCTTCCTCCCCTCCCCTCCCCGCTCAGATTTACTAAATTTCCTTGTGGATCTCCTTCATCAACACCATTTCTTTTACCCAGAGCTTTGTAGAGCAGTGTCCCCTACTGTCCCCTTGGTCCTCCCAAGATCGCCATGGCTTGGTTGGGTAGGTAATGTTGCCCATTTTATTGATTAGAGAAAAGCTTCTAAAGTGACTTGTTCAAGGTCACTCAGCTAGTAGAGGCCATAGGCTCAGGGCTGCTCCTGCCTGATCAATGGTTTGCTCTGCAAATCTGTTAATTTAATATAGCCCTGGGGAGAGCCTGTGACCTGGGAAAGGGCCAAGGGCATGATTATGTGGGTAACCAGATACCATCCCAGGTGTCTGACTTCACACACAGGTGTTAGTTGATTTTGTGAACAATCACCCAAAATCGCTTACAATAAGCATAGAAAAAGTTTTGACTCATTACGACCTTTACTATTGTTTCCAATCATCATATTTGTTCATTTACTTATTTTTATCTTTTCCCCTTTCCAAAATATACAATCCATCTGGACAAGGACCATGTTTGCTTCGTCATCATTGTATCCCTAACACCTAGCACAGTATCTGGCAAAATAAATATTTATTGCTTGAAAATAGTTGTTGAGTAAATGACTAAACATGTCACTTGTGGAGAGACTGTGCCGGAGACCTCTATGTTTACACAGCTTATTTCATATCTGTGCTCTTTGACCTGGATTCTATTAATGTTATGTCTTAGACCCACGAAGGGGTGGGGAAATGGAAGTCATGACATGGGTCATTCGAGCAAGATGGACCACCCACTTGAACCTTGATGACCTGGTTATTTTAGGTAGAAGTATTTTAAAACCTGAAGAACTGAGATAATTGTAGGCAGATGTGAAAAGGCTTCCTCATTAAGAACCTGGCCCGACAGCAGGCACACGGCATGTGCTCACACACGGAGTGTGAAGGGGAACAGGAGTTTGAGAGAGAGACTGGAAACGGTACCTAGGAGGCTCACCTTCCGGCAGGAGAAAGCCTCCAAGCCTGGCCCTTCTGCAGAGCTCAGTTCCCTCCCCCAAGTGTGCATTGCTAGAACCCAGGTAAAGACTCCTTGACCTTGGCAAACCAGACTAGCTCCAAACTAGACCCTCACGGGCAGAAAGGCCCTGGCTGACAGGCAGAGTTCTAAGGAGATACATTTTTCAATTTGGGGTTTAAAAAAAGAACAGAAAAAATTCAAGCCTAAGCCAAGAAGTTTGGTTTTGTCATGTCAATAGCATTTAAAGATGTTATTTGGCTGGAGCTGGAACTGTGATTGAAAAACAACTTGGCCCCCTCTCTCCTCTCTGGCCCTACCCTCTCCCTGTTAGTTCCCAGCTGTCCTGAGCTCCCCGCTGAAGACCCACCTCCTTTTATTGGGAGAAATCACCAGTGCTTTTGAGCCCACCGCCCCCCGGGGCCAGGGTCCGTTTTCATCCTTGTGCTGCTTGCTTCTGTGGAACTGGGAGATCTTGGTTATCCACCAGTCTCCTGAAAATGGCACTGGGTGGGGGCAGAGCAGCTTCTTGGCATTCTAGGGAAGGTGAGGTGGAGACGGAAGGGAGGAAGGAAGGAAGGAAGGAAGGAAGGAAGGAAGGAAGGAAGGAAGGAAGGAAGGAAAGAAGGAGGGAAGGAGGGAAGGAGGGAAGGAAAAGGAACAGCGGGAGACATAGTTCTTACTCCCTACTGTGAGCAAAGTCGGCACTGGCCAGTTGCTTTACGTGACGTGATGATGTCCTTGACGCTCAGACAACCCTGTGAGATGGCCAATGTAGGTGGGGCCATCCGCATTTTACAGTTGAGACCACTGAAGCTCAGAGGGGTTGAGTGATTTACCTAAGGTCACAATGGGTAGTATGTGGCCACATCTTTCGGATTCCAAAACCCATGTTCCTTCAACCCCATACAAGGAAGGGACTGGCGCTAAGTCAGGGAGCCATTTGAGGAATCTATCAAAATGTAATTTGGCCTTCATTTGTTCCTGCCTGCCAGGCTTTGTCCACAATGTTCCCTCAGCCTTCCATCAACCCTCCACACATCTCTCAGGCCAAGTCCATCTCTTCCTTCCTTCACAAAGCTTCGCTTGCTTCCCCAAGCCAGAATTAATCTCTTTCTCTGTCCCCACAGTGGGTCTGTTAAGTAACTCCTGTGCTGAAGCCTCTGTCTGGGTCTGCCTGGCGGTATGGTTGCTGGGGCATGAGGGTGATGCTTAGAGAGGCCTGGGCATCCTGATCCAGCCTGGCATCAGCTTGAGAAGGCACAGGATGGAGACAAGGTGTGGGGCGCATGAGGCAAAGAAGAATCTTCTCCACTCCCAGGCTGAAAAACCTGCCCTCCTCTGGAATTTGCTGCACTGGGGGGGTACTCACATCACACTCAGATTTCAGGAGACGGCCTCCTCCATCTTGCTGAGAAATGGGGAGTGTGAGAAACATTGGGGGGAAGATTGAGATATAAGCTCTGAACTCCCCCCAAACAGAATGCCCAACCATGCAGGCGTGACCCGGGCACTGGCTGGTCTTCCAGGTTCTTCCCAGGCTGAGCCTGGTATTTTGCTCTCTCTTGGGTGCCTCTGAGTCTGTGAAAAGCCAGATCCCCACACCCATGCCTCCTGACTTGCCTCAGGGTGGGTCCCCATCCTCCTCCTCTCGGCTGCATCCTCCATGGTCCCACTCTCCACCTTACCACTGGAATGATGCAGAGCCCAGACCAGAGAGTGGCCCTGGGCCTCAGTCCTTCTCTCAACCTAAGGGTAGCAGCCAAGAGGTGCCCAAGGCTAGAGCAGAAGCCCATGGCTTCCCACAAACACCAGCTCCTTCCTTGAGCTCCAGGAAGAAAATGTGTGTGAGCCACTGTTCACACATGGGAGTGGGCACACTCGTGCATGTACAGGTGGTTTCTCAGCGTCAGGGGATCTAGTGACACTGGGTTGTTCTTGGAATCGGAGTTCAGCCCATCTAATCCCTTCACTGTATAAATAGTTTATTTTAGTTAATAGGAGTCTTTACCTGAAATGTGGGCCATCAAAAGTATATGGGCAGATCTCATGGCCACCCAGGAGGAGAGACACCTGTTCATTCTGACCTTCTCCCCTCCACCACCACCCTGTGTTCTAGACCCTTCTTCTCCTTATAGGGAGCTCCTCTCCTTTCCTCAAGCCCTTTATTAGAAACAAAACAAGCAGAAGACGTTGTTGAGGATGCCAAGATCCTTTTCACTGTCTGGGACGCCCACCTGTCCTTCCCTGCCCTGCCACCGTGTGGCTCAGGCTACCACCGCAGGCCACCCTCTAGGACACACGTTTGTGCCTTTTGTCCCTTTTTTCTCATAGCCTTGCAACAACCTTGTGAGCACGGTATTAGTATCCTACGTGACAGGTGAGAAGACCGAGGCCCGGAGAAGTGCATCGGCTGGTCCTAGCGCTCAGCTGGTTCCCCGCGGGAGGGGGATGGGAACCTCCGCCTGCGGCCCCCAAGTGTGTGCTTTCAACCAGCAGCCCCGGGACGACTCAGGGGCGCAGGCACAGTGTTGGGCTGCCTGGGAGGAAGTCAGCTCCTCTCCCTCTGCCCTCTCTCCACACTCCAGAAGCACTCGGCCTGAGC